GGGGGTAATTCCGGCATGCGCGCGTTTATTGTGGATCATCACTATCATGACTATCACAATCATCACTATCCGCAGCATGGCCCCGATGCGACACGCCCTGTTGTGCCCCTCGACGATCTACATCCTGTGCGTCGTGTCGTCTGCTGGCTGGCCGGCCACGCCTCAGGATGGATGTTCGCACCGCGACCTCTGTCTCGCGGGTCGCTTTGTCTGCAGCAGCGCCAACCCGCCGACAGTAGGATGCCTTCCTGCTGCTTCTTGTGCTTGCCGAGACCAAAAGCTGTGCTGAAATAAGCAAATATATAGTAAAACAGCGCTGCAGCGATGAGTCAGATTTCTTGCCCAAAAAAAAAAGCGAATGTTTTCCCTCTTGCTGATCCATTGAAGAAATGTTTTAGAAACCTCGATGTATTTGAGTGAGATTCTAAAATATCACTCAAATTCAGAGAGATCTCTCCAATCGGTTAACATTAGGAACCCTTGCTCGAATCAAACCACGCCCTCGGAAAAACGTAGAAATTTACAGCACAATTTTTGCTTTCTACACGTCGAGAATCGTCGATCCAGGATTTCTAATGAAAATTTCTGCTTTTAAACGCTTCTATCATTTTACTGTTTCGCCAAGATTCAAAGAAACCGCTTCAAAGTTTAAAATAATAGTCAGTTGCTCTCTTCTCATCAACTATTTCTTCCATTCTTGAATCTGAAAACCTCGGAGTGAGCAGCAAACCTGGCCTCTGTGCCTCACCCGCCATGGTATCCTCCAAAACGATGTTTGCCTTTTGCGGTCCAAACGCCCGTCCGGCGGTACGGTTCCGTCCGTCTGTCTCTCTCCTTCTCCCTGTCCGACGTGCGCGCGCCTCTTCAAATATTTTGCCGTTTCGTTTGAGAGCAGAATGGCAGAGGAAGCGAGCGCGGTGCGCAGCTTGCTTTGCTAACGTACCGGAGAGGAGAGAGTGACAGAGACCCCAGGCCTCTCACTTTGCGTGCCTAAAACTTTCCTCCCTCCCTCTCTCCCTCTCTTCCCCCACCGGGCCCTCGCTTACCGCTCAGCTACAGTGAGAAGTGCTTGCCAAGAACAGGTTCACAACATAAACTGTACTCAGTGGTGTTCAACTACAGGGTTGGCCGTTCAGCTTTGGATACTTTCAAGGGTTTTACTTCCCTGCACATAATTTTAATTCTTCAAAATATTTATCAAAATATTTAAAAGTGTGCACTATGTAGTTGAACACTACTACCATGTGTTGCTTACTTTAGTTAACAGTGTTTCTCCAAAGTAATTGAGGTTATGTGAAAGCTTTTGGTAAAAATTAAATCAAATCATCGCAATTGATATGCGTTTAAGAAGATAATACAACACCTCGGTTCCTTTTCTCTTGTGCGTCACGCGGCCTCGCGGTTAACGCACATTTTGCCATCTGAGAGCCGTAAGAAAAAGTGTCAGTGATGACAATCATCGCTCCCCCTCTTCTTCAAACCCCTGCCTGCCCGCTTTCCCGCGTTTTCGCCCCCCTCCCCCACACATATACATACAGTCGCAATCACACTCGCACTTGCAGCGCAGCAGTAAGCGACTCTCGTGGGACGCACTGATCTTTTATTTTTCTGAGAAAGGTTGAGGGGTGTGGGTGTGAGGAGGGGATGGAGGGTTGTAGAGAGCGTTTTGCTGGCGACAGACCGTGCGTAAGGTCGCGACACGCGTGCTTGTGTACCACCCTGAGAGTGAGAGAGAGAGAGAGAGAGATCCTAAGACGAAGATATTGGATAATCGCGTAAGCCCAAAAAATGAGATTTAGCGTGTGAGTGTGTCAGGTTCACACGCCGCTGCGGGCGAAATGAAAAATCGGGGTGCGGTGCGGCGGCTGTTCTCTCTGAGAGGGATCCCCCCTCCACCCCTTTCATTCTCTCTCCGCCTCTCTCCTTCATCCGTCTCTCTCTCTCTCCCTCCTCTCTCTTCCCCCCCTTCCGGGTGTTGCAGGATGCATGACTCTGCTGAGCGACATTCTGATCTTTTCACCGAGACAGGTTTATATGAAGGCTGGGCATACATCTCCAGTACAGGGCGGGCTGTTCCTCTCTCTGTTAACCATCTTAAGGCTTGCTCAGTGACAACCATAAAATGACGGTTTAGGCGAATCGAGGCGAATATTAGAACTAAAATTTATTGCTCCCTGGGCGTTGTCTTCTGGTCATTCCGTGGTTCCCTTCCCGGTTTCCCTATTCCCGTAAATGGGTCCACACAACGAGCTGCCCGAGAATTGTAAAAGTACGCATATAGCAAGTTATAGCGAGTATTTATGACGAGTATACCAGTGCGAGATCTCTCGGCTCCTAAGTTTGCCATATGATGGTTCCTACAACAGCGCAACATTTGCCGGGTGCATATGTCACGAACTCTATACTCCCCTGCTGTTTGCATCAGAACGTTGCTCGCTTGGCCTGTCTCTCGCTGCAGTGGGCCGGGCCAAGTTTAGCAATGTTTGTCGTGAAGTGCTTTCTCATTAGAGTGGGCGTTGAGGAGAGGAGCAGCAGCAGTATTCATTCCTCCACCGAAAAATTGTGAAATGGGCGGGCGTCGGGTACGATATGCATGCTAGGTTGTGCATTGTATGTGCTTTTGTCGTGCACGGCTCTTGGATGCACTCCACCTCCTGAAAAACGTAAAGCGCCTATCCGCCAGGACAAAACGCAGTGTAAGCTGGAGGACCCACGCCAGAGCATGCCCAGGCCCGAATGCACGATGAAAAAAATGGGTCGGATGTTTTCCTTATATTTGAACAGGTCCATATTCTTTAAAATGTTAACAGAGTTTGACCCATTCAATTAATACAGGAAATTTTAGATGTGGGAAAATTGCGTTCCAAAGACGGAGACTTTTTTGTGCAATTTTGTTCCTAAATGTCCCAGATGAGGTGCCACTAGAGGCTGGTGTGGCCCCGAAAAATAACCTTGCTCCTGCAAGAAATGTAATGTGGTCTAGCTTAATATGGTTCGCGGAACGAGATCAGTGTCAAAAATGTTCAAATAAGAGATTTGGGATGTCGTGCGCACGCATTTCTGTCGTGTGTGCGAACTACAGTCATCTGCGTGTGGCGTTGCGCGATCGGTGGATTTGGCAACAGCCCGCATTGTGCGTGTGCGTGTTGCCTCTGCTGCGCTCTCTCGCTCCTCTCTCGCTCCCTCTCTCGCTCCCTCTCTCACTCCTGTCACCTCTCTCTCTCTCTCTCCCGCGCTCTCTCTCGCGCTGTCCTTCTGCCTGCCTGCCGGGCGCCTTGAGCCGAAAATCAAACAAACTGATCCCGTCGACGGCAATCGCAGGGGAGAGTGTTGACGGCGTGGTAGGGAAGGGGTGCGTGGGGAGCAGGGCAGGGCCAAGGAGAACAAGGGTGGACTGAGACTGAAATGTCGCGCGGGGAGGACGCCTGGAGGCATGGCGTGGGTTGAGTGGGTACGCTGTCGTCGTAGGGTGGGTACGGCCACTTTACTCCAACTTCCGGTGGGACCGGGCCTAACGCGTAGCCAAGGGACGTTCTATTGATGAAGGGCAAAAATCGAGACACTCAATTTTTGATTCTGACCAAAAAAAATTTCTTTCTTGTCAAATGATCAGAATTTTAAAAAAAGGAACGGCTCAAATGGTTGGTGAAATAAACACAAAAAACTATCTAACTCAAAAGGCGCGGCAATCAATTTTGTCGATTTTTTTTTCTGATTCAGTTTGACATTCTGATTATGGAAGAACTTAGTCCCATCCTCTGGACTTGTACGGTAAAGTAATCTCTTTCTGTTATAGTCTAATTTCTTAGTTTCCGCTAATTTACCTAATAAAATGTATCCCAGCATGTTTGCCAGTGGCTGCTCCGGCAAGAAAATTGTCACGGGGGTTGCACTCAACTATAGAAAGAATATTCTGATAAAGAAAGTATCGTCCAATGTAAAGTGTGACGTCATGAAGTTAAGCCTCTTTAGCTAGCTATGGTTTTCTTGACGATACTTTTTTTGGTCCAGGTTTAATTGGCTGAGCGTTAGCGAAGCCTTTGCTGTCATGAGGTGCAGGGAACTCTTTGGTTGTGTGTCTGTCTGTCTATCTGAAATCACACACGTTTCTCAAAGATGGCAACTTCAATTGACTTCAAACTGCACACGAAGCATCAGTATACATCGGGTCGTATCGAGTTTAGTTTAGAAGTTAAATATAAGATGTTTGAAATAAGCGATCCTTTAATTTGAATTCGTAGTTTGGTGGCGGTAGGTTGGTAGCACGGCGCTCGAGGGGAGGGGGAGCGCAAGTGGCTCTTGCGCTCACCTGAAGACTTTGATACCTTCTCAGCAGTTATTAAAATGTCAGATAGTCAAACCGAGTGTTTTACTTT